AGAATAAAAGTTCACAATCAATGCATTTTGGCATAAATTAGACACCTAAGAATTTACTCATATCCTTTTACTCCCCAACTTTTTCACATGCAACCAGTATGAACTACTCTCTTCATTTATGAATATTTCAATAAAATTTCAAATTTTTATATCAAAACTTATCTAAACTTGGCACAAAATTTAAATTCTTATACTAAATACGCATTATATTTTAACCAGTACCAAATTTACAAGGAAAATTTTTATTTTCTGTTCATACTATAAATTATAAGGATTTATCTACATATGATATATATATATATAATATATATATATAAAAAAAAAAAAAAAAAAGAGTCTGTCTGTGTGGGTGTCTTTCGTTCGCGTGCGCGTAAGTAATAGACCCGGCACAAAAATTTGGTACATAGGCATTAGATAAGAGCAGTGCACCTCGAAGCGATTTTTTCGAAATTCGAATTCGAAAATTTTTTTTTTTTTTTATTTTTATGTTTGTGACGAAATCGCGTCATTTGAGACTAATGGGTTATAGGAAAGCGAGATATTACTCTACACCTCCATTTTCACATCGTCATGAAACGTAGGCACTTAGCTATTTCACGAACTTAAAATAAAATTTCGTGTTTGAATAAATCGATTAAATACAATTTATTTAAACAAGTGAGCTTAACACCTTTTCAACGGGGATTTTTTCTAAAAAGTTATGTTTTAAAAATACAGTTTTTTTCTTTGATTTTGGACACGTTAAACTTCATCCTTGCGACTGCTTTTACAAAAAGAATTTTGGAAAAATGATAATATTTTGTATTTAAAAAATTTAAATGAAGCTTCGAGTACACTTCACATCTTTAAAAATGTGATTTTGGCAACATTTTCCTTTCTTATTGTTGTTGATAGATTTTGTGAAATCACATCATTTTGAATAGTTCATTCTTTAGAAATATGGGTTTGGAACAATTTTTTCATCGTATTTTTATGTCACTGTTTTAGGATTGGCATATAGTCCTTTTTTATATATATAATAAATTTTTATTGATGCTTTTTATAAAGTGTTCTGCAAAGTTAAAATTGTGCGCGGAATTTTTTGTTTTTTGAGTTTCTTTCTTTCTTTCTTTTTTTCTTTTTTCTTTTTTTTTTGCTTATTTCACTGTTTGTAAGATATGAAAAGTTGCATGTTTTTTTTTTTTTTTTTTTTTTTTTTTTTTTTTTTTTTTTTTCTTCAACGGAAAGTTGATTAATTTTTTGGGTACTTTTCTGTTTTGCTGGCGCAAGCGATAAAGTCGCCAATAATGGTACAACTGATGCCAAACGGAATATCTTCGCTGATAACTTTTTACGATTCATTTCAAAACAAGTCGCAGCCATTTTTTTTAGATTGATTGTTCTTTCAATACTGGCATACAAATTACATAAATTTGCCGAGATAGTTAACTTTTATGCCCCAAGGACCATTCACACTGCTCACCCGAAAATATAGAAAAGGCAAAAAAATCAAGGGTTAAATTCAATCAATTCTAAAGAATGCACTAGCGAAGTAAAAGCATGCGGTTTACCTAATTGAGTAAGCTCGTACGAATGAAATAATTCTTGATTTAAAAAACTTGTATTCCAAATTAAATTAACTTGAAATTAATATAGATAATTACGGAGAGAATTACTTTTTTGTAGGCGTAGTTAAGTGAGATGAGATCACTTCGAGTACGTGGATACGAACAGGCGAATTAGATGTTGAACTGAAAGCATAATAAATTCTAAATTAATGTCTTTTTACAAAATTTATTGTCTTACGTACTGGCGTTTTTACAAAATTTTAACCATATTAAAATTTTTATGCCTTCAAAAAAAAAATTCTTTAGAACTAACATTTGTAACCTTTTTATGTGCATACTGTATGCTTCGCCAACAAAGTCTTTGGGAGATTTGCGCGGCGAAACGGAAAAGTACCATTTTTTATTAGGAAATTAATATTTGTATTTTAAATTTGTAATTAATATTTAATATTTGTACTTTTTTGTGGTACTTATCAATATACGCCAGGTAAATACTTTTAAAAAAATGTAAGTACATAATTTTCTTTTACTTTATAATTGTATACTTCAATTTTATTAAAAATTAATACAATGTTTTCAAAAATTCCTGAGATTTTATGCCACATATATTTTAATGTTTAAATAATTAAATCCATAATTTTAAAACATTTAAGTAATATTTTAATTTTTCAAACGTTGGTATGATATTTTAATTTCGATATTCAATTTAAGTGATATTTTAATCAATCAACTGTTGGCGCAATGTTTTATAGCGGTGTTTTATTCTATTGAATAAAATTTTAACCTTACTTAGCATTTTATACTCTTAGTAAATGTATTTATTTACATTTGCCAGCCATCTTAAAAACAACGTTTTCAACAAAAAACTAATTCATTATTTTTAACGATATGCGTAAAATACGTAAAAGCAGCATTTTTCAAGATGGCTGATGACTGTAAAAACCGCGCCAATGTAAATCGCCAAAAATCCGTGCAACCGTCTACCAAAGTAGCACTTAATTTTTTCTCTTGAAAATATAAGCTAAAATATCCTTAATTATACGTTTCTTTTCAGAATTTTTTGCTTTTTGTATTCCTTTATGTTATTTATTGCTCATTTCACTGTTTTTAACATATTGAAAAGTTTTGAGTGATGTTTTTAGGAAACAAAGTTCTTAACCTCCTTTATACCAGTTGAGTTCTTAAGATTTGCAAAGGGAAGTTGGTTAATTTTTTTATTAGATATAAAAATATTTGCATTAAGGGGATATTGCTTATTTCATTGTAATTTTGTTATACGTAATAAATTTTTTTTTATGAAGTTTTCTGCAGAGTAAAATTCTATGCAGTTTTTAAATTTAACATTTGGTGTTCTCTTCAGCCATTTTTCCGGTACATTTAAAAGCCAGACGAAGGCTGGCAGCGAAGCTGCTAGTATTATATATAATGGTTACATCACCATATTGGTAGTAACTATTAAATGATTATATTGCACATTATTATGATAACATTGATAAATCTAAATAAATGCATACACTTCTCGAAGAGAAAATTTCAATTGCAAAAGTTAAAACATAAAATGTTAAATCTTAAGACAAGTTCTTTTCTTGTGATAGAGCTGTAACGTTTTTCTCCCGCCTTATCGCGTGCCTTGTAGCATAATTGGAAAGCGCGTTCGGATAGCAACCGGAAGGCCCGGATTTCGAGTCTCAGTGAGGGCATAGAAAATTTTTCACGTTTTCTCTTACAAAAAGTCAACAATGACTTTACAAAGTTTTGAACAAAATTTTAAGAAAATAGCGAAAAACAATTAGTTTTCTAATTCAGACTCGAATGCATTCTTTTGAAGCTATAAATATCTCATATGACATTGTTGCTTATTGCGCTAAAGCTGTTATTTTTTTTTTTATATATGAAGACTTTTTTGATGACTTTTTTGAATTTTAATACCGATGGTATTAAAATTCAAACGAGTGATTAAAAAATGTATGATTATTAGGCTTCTACCAACTTAATTCCTTACATTCTCAAATATGAGTTCTCATATTAAGTGCGAAGAGCATGCAAGTTTAAGTAAAAGGTTTATCGAAGCTGCTGGTTGCCCCTAAATGCATTTACAGCAAATTAAATGAGGTATTTCACACGAAAACAGACAGGTAACCTATCAGATTCACTTCGATAAAGATAATTACTGACTTCCAGAAATTGGAGAATAGCGTTCTTAATTTTAATTCCCTTTCTCTCTTTCATTTTCCGATTGTTTTACAGAAAAAAATGATTGAACGAATAAAAATTAATATCATAATTTCATACTAAGAAACACTAGAAGAAGCGGCATTCTTTTTCTTTCTGTGTTCTGTATTTTAATATATATATATATATAAGATTAAGTTCAAAAGTAGTAAAAATTGAGATTATCCTATCTAAGGAGAAGAATGGGGGATATTAAGAGGTCTTTAAAGTTAAATGGAAATTCAGGTGGGTCAAGAGGTCTAATACAGAGGCAAAGATGGTAAAAACTTTGGTGGAAACCTCAAAATTAGCAGTAATGAAAAATTAATATATGAAAAATAAATAAACGAATTAAAAAATTAATCACCCCTATTTAATATTTCAAAACAGAACTTGTAAAGGAGTAAGTATTTAAACACTTAACCGAGTTGATTAATGAGAGATGAATAATATGTTTCGTCCCTCTCAACACTGTAAGACTTCAAACCATTGTAAATTAATTTGCTTTTTGAAAAATTATTTTTAAGTCGTCTTATACTGCTGAAGACTTTCTCCGACGTGTCATCTGACCTCTTCGAATTAAAACAAAGTAAGAATAAAAACCTTCTTAAAATAAAATTTAAGAAAAAAAGCAAAACATACAAAATATAAAAATTCAAAGTACAGTAAATTGCTAGAAAAACTAATAGAACTGTAGAAATATATATACACAGAGAGAGACATCTTTCATCCTAAAGTTTTTCTTTAAATAAAAGTTAATAAATATGCTATCAGTATCAATCAGCTAGAAAATTATTAAATTGGTATTAATATAAAAATATATTTTTAGCTTTTCTCTCATTAGCCAAAATAGGGACTGATTTAGTCCATGAAACACTGACATAAGGTCCCATACTTTAGGCGGTTACAAAATTCTGCTTAAAATGCTTTATAATACTCTTTCTCCTCTCCTACCAGAAAATAAGCTCCACGGCCCCAAAAGAACATTTTGCATAACAGAAAGAAGCACAGATGACCTCAGTCCCACTTGCCCAAAACATCTAATGTTGAACATCAACATTTGGCAATTATTTCTGCATCTCTTCTCATCCCTGCGATTTTTACACAAGAACATTATCATAATTTATCATTTACATTATCATAATTTGTCATTTATCGAGCTGAGAGAATTTTAAGCAACGTAAATGAAGAGTTTAACATATTCCGTTAACGATAATATACTAACTTCGGTTTCCCCTCTTCTTCCAAGGAACGCTGGATGGATCCACTGCGGTCCCTTGGCGAAAATCCTGGCGACGTCGGCGACAGAAGCACTGGCAGTGAAGGGGGAGGGCCATCGTTGCAAAATCCGCTGTCGTTACTGGAATGTAAGGAAGTCGACATGGGGGGCAAGCGCCGTGGCAGGATTCTAACCAAGGGGTCCCCTGATGTCACAGGGGGGCCGGAGGGAGAGGTGGGGGTGGGGGCGGGGAGCTAACCGCGGATATACTCGAGGAAGGGTGAAGAAATTTGGAGTTATTTCGCTGGCGCTGAAAATGAAAAATGTAAAACAAAAATTATTCAAAATAATGCTTTTGTAAAACTCAGTACTATTAATAATATTTAAATAGAAATTAATACTTAAAAACCAACCACAGACAAGAAATAATAATAACTTATGAAAAAAGCACAGATAATAACAAGATAACCACAGACAAGAAACTACACCATATTATTTTATCAGTGTGGGACAAGGAGACGCTTCCAGAGAAATGGGGACTTAGCACAGTCTGTCTCATACATAAAAAAGGAGACATTCTTGAATCCCTAATTAAAGAGGTATTAGTCTACTGTGTACTGCTTATAAAATTTTTTCAAACATTCTTTTTAGTAGACTTTTCCCATTTGTGGAAAACATTAGCGGAGATTATCAATGCGGATTCAGAAAGGGAGATCCACAATTGGCCAAATATTTAACGTTCGACACATACCAGAAAAAAAAAAAAAAAAAAAAAAAAAAAAAAAAAACACAAAGAATTTGGAATTGGAACCTACCATCTCTTTGTGGATTTCAAAAATAAATGCCTTTGATAGCAAAAACGGAAAATTTCTCATTGAAGCTATGCGAGAATTTAATATCCCTGACTCACTGCTCTTACGCTGAGTAAAAGCGTGCAGAGTTAAAATCCAGGGAGATTTTTCAGAAGTAATGGAAATTAGAAATGGGGTTAGAGAGGGTGACGCGTTGGCATGCCTACTTTTCAACATAGCATTAGAAAAAATTATTCGTGACACAAAAATCAACACTAGAGGAAACATATTCTATAAATCTGTGCAAATCATTGTACTTGCCGATTATACAGACATAATTGCAAGAACACCTTCTGATCTGAAACGGACATTTCGGGCCCTGGAAAGAGAGCACCTTACTATAAACCAGGAAAAAAAACTAAATACGTGCAATGCACAGGGGTAACAGACTCTACTACTCACCTGCAAATAGGTACTTAAAAATTTCAGAAAGTTGATAGCTTTATATATCTGAGCTTTGAGATTAACATTAACAACATCACACTTAAAGTACAGAGGATAATTAAGGCTACCAATAGATGCGTTCACGGATTAAAGAAATATTTTAAATCAAATTTAATTAAAGGAAACAAAGTTATTCATTTATAAATGTCTAATCAGATCTATACTCACTTACTCTTCAGAAACCTGGATGACACAAAAAGATGAAAATGCTCTTTGTATCTTTGAGCGGCAGATACTAAGAGCTATTTTTGGAGGAATACAAGTTGATGGTGTTTGGCACAGACGCTCAAATCTAGAACTTTACCGTACCTACAAAGAACTCGACGTCGTGAAAACATAAAAATCCAAAGGATTAAAGGGCCATGCCACATTATTAGAATGAAACAGGGAGCGCACAACGCAGAAAATATTTCTGGCCAAGCCCCAATGGAAAAATAACTATGGGCCGAATCAACCTCAGATGGGTCGATTGCCTAGAAGGGGACCTCGTGAATTTAAGAGTGATTACCATGGGCAAGAAGAGAGAGGCCTGGAAGAAAATTCTTGAGAAGGCCAGGGCCCACCCTGGGCTGTCGTGCCACTGAGGAAGGAAGGGAATCACAGACAAGAAATAATAATAATAAGAGATTATTAATAAACTAAAACTGCAAAATTATTAATTTGCTTCTGCTGTTATATTTCTAGCCTAAAGTTAACTAATTATTCTAACCTAGTTTAATATTAATATTTTCCCAAAACACATTTTTGATATTAGTAAAGCAGCACGATATTCCATTAAATACTATAAAAATACCTTTTTAATTAGTAAAACCAATAAGTACTTGTTAAAAATGATTATACTCGTTTAAAAATGACAGATATATTACAGCCGCTTTATTACAAAAATAAAACCATTAACTAGAAATATATTAAGACCCTTCTTTAAGCTAAACAGATTTTTAATGCAATAATTAGTTATCCGTAAATTTTAATTTTGTAATAAATGAAAAAATAAAGCTGAGTTTATAAGATTATACGGCAAACAGCATGCCTATCCCAATAAAAAAGATGCAGAAAAAATTGGATAAATTTTACTCCATACGTGGAAACAAAAATATCCGGAGTTTAAATGGGAAATATATTAGTTGACAGATTTTTAGTATCAATTTCCGCGATGAATGCGCATCATCCACAAAATGATCTCACATTTCATTACCAGATGGCAGCACTATCTAATTTTGGAACATCCAGCCAAACATTTGGAGGTCTGGAAGACCAGAGATGCTAATCCAGACCAGAGATTCTGTAACGGCACATTTGGCCCTTTTCTTTTACTCCTCCCCCCCGGTACTATTCCCTACCATAAGAGCTTCAACTGCGTGGCCGACTGAAGGTATTTTGAAGAATTTTAAGAAATTCTAATTTCAAGAAAAATTGCCTTGTCAGCTTTTTGTCATTTAAAAAAAAAAAAAAAAAAAAAAAAAAAATCTTATTCTTGATATTTAAAACATTTTATTGACATACCTGATATTTGAGATAACGTTTTCTGAAAATAACGAGTTTTCAAAAATTTCACTTTTTCTTATGTAATTTATCTTATGTAATATTGTTCCAACTCAACTTCAATTAGAATTTATAGATTTACAGTGTGACTCTGCAGAAAAATGCAAGTTTCTTGAAAATCCTACATTAATTGATTTTTATTCGAAGTATGTGACCGAAGACAAGTATTCAGGAATTTGTAAACATGCACTCTTCATGCCTTCTATCTTTGGCAGTACCTACATATGTGAACAGCTTTTTTTGTAAAATGAAAATCCTAAAATAAAAACCAAGAACACGGCAGCCAGCCAAACATTTGGAGGAAATTTTACGAATTGTAACAACACAGATTTAACCGGATATTGAAGCTTTAATCAAGTAAAACAATGTAAAATTTCACATTAAAACTAAATTAACTACCATCTCTTGCCAGTAATATAATTTTTTTAAATTGCAAATGCATTTTGTAACATCGTTCTGTACAATCATCTTTATACTTTTTTTTTTTCATAGTTAAAAAAAGATTTAAAACATTTTGAATTGATTTCCAGTTGACTTTTTGGAACCAGTGTATATATACACAAACCTCCCTTTTTTATATAAATTTTCTGACAACACTATTTTTTTGAAAGACATGTGGCCCACGGATATTTGATCTTTGTGAATTTATTGATGTGGCCCTCGGGCGTGAAAGGTTGAAGACCCCTACTCTAGCAAAATTGAAAGAATAAACATAATTCGAAAATTGCCGCCAAGTTTGTTTATGAACATTTAAATAAATTTTGCGTGATTTATAAGCTCATTAGAGATAAGTACATTAATACATTAATTAATATAATACACATATTAATACATTGTTACATGAATTTATAAATAGCCCTTAAAAGAAATATAAAAACACCGCATAAAGTAAGGGGGGAAAGTATTCATACACTTGCACAGATTTTAATCAGTCTAAAATTTATGAAAAAATAATTTTTACTTTATATATGATGATTCTTATTGAAATATTTCAGCATGTATTTAACACAATAAACAGGTGTGTAATAAATTAAAAAGTGACAAATAATCAATGGAAAATTTATTCATACATTTAATACCATGTCAATATTTAAGCATTTTACTACTTGATTTATACTATATTATATGATTTACTGTATTACTATTTTATACAATTTTGCATAAATAATAGCTTGAAGATATTCAAGCGTTTAAATTTACCTAATTCAAATGTACCTCTGCCCACCTGCGGTCGAGAGGTGGTAAGTCGATCAGCGTATGAGTGAATCCCAGCGAACGGGCTGGCTGCATGAGCGTTTTCGTGGTTTTAGGCGCCAATTTCCTTTAGAAAGTCCTCCACGAAGGCATCACTACCGTTAGGCAGATAGACCTCGAGTGCTCTACCATAATTAAATAAAACAAACCAAGCCAAATATACCTCTTGTTAATTTTCTACCACTCTTGTACTAAATGATGCTAACAATTCCGCCCAACTACTCCCCAAGAATCGCACATAGCATTTTATAATTTATTTAAAGAAAATAAAATTCACACAAAGTAGTTGTAAGCCTTTTTCATTGATCATTTGCTTTTATTCACCAAACAATATCTCCTTAAATGTAGCTATGCTTATTTTATTCCCTTTATGCAGAAATTAATAGCATTTAAATATGACTTCAGTTGAGAAATATATATAAAAGGTCAATAATAAAAAAAAATGTTTTACACATTCATAAAGAAAATTTTTTAAATTAATAATTCATACCTAAAATAAAATACTACTATTGTTTAAATTCTGTTAAAAAAATATAATTCGACACAAAAGCGAGGTTAAACGAATAAACCGAGCACAAAATAATATCTTCAGATACCTGGGAAATGTTCGTTAATATATATAAAATATTAAAGAAATCATTACCTTACTCGATAACAACATACATGCATAAAGCGAGACCGTTAGAAAATCAGCTACTCTCGGGGTAGAGCATTAGCGCGAGTCCCTATATAGGATAAACCGACAAACTTTATCTGACGTGGCGCCATCTAGTGTTGGAGTTTAGAAGTAAATTTTAATGCTAAAAACTCTAAGGATAAAATTTGACTGTTTAACTGTTACTGAATTTTATTGTTAAGCAAGAGCTTAGATTCTAAGTACATATTAATAAATCAAAGAACAAATTATTCAGAAGTCAAACAACAAAAATCAGCGTAATATTTTTTAAATTTTTACAGGACTAGTTTTTGTAGTCTGACTTCAAAATTAATATTTGTTTGGCATGTTATTGTATCTTAATCAAAGAATAATATTTAGAAAAACTCAAAGTTTCCTAATAGAAATATTAGAAATAAAAATAAAGCTTACTGCATCAAGTTTTTGCAGTAAATTTTAGGAAATCATACTATTTTCTGTTCTCGTCTGTAATAGTATTGTCAGAAGAAAAGAAATACCTTGCAAGAATTACTTTATTTCAAAACATAATAAGCTGAAAGCTGA